AATACTGATAAATTTAAATTTTACGATTATTATCATTTCTTTTTTAGAAAATTTGCAAGTGGTTGATAAAAACAAATGTAAATAATGCATGCATCATATAAAAAGTCAGTAAAAGAAGTTTTTTCATTCACAAATTTTCAAATATTAATAAAATTAAGTAGCCAATTGATAAAAGGAATGTTTAAAAAATTTTTGAAGAACTTGAATGCATAAGCAAATTTAATATATTTGTCAAAAAAAAAAAAAAAGAAAAAAAATCACATCTTTGTGAACATAACAAAGAAATTATTTCATATCGATGGTTAGAAAACGACAAAGTTTTTTTAATTCTTATTTTTGTTAAACTATTTACATTCTATTCCAGTTTAGTTACAGTTTAATTTCACTAAAAAATTATGAAAATTTCATTATTTGCAATTGCAATATATATTTATATTAAGTTAACAAATTATCCACCAAACCATTCTTTGATTACAGAAATGTTTTATGATATATGTAAAATATAATTTTTTTTTTTCATTTACGTAGGAAAACAAATGAAATTTAGAGTAAAATAGTGTCAACAAATCTGTGATATTTTTGCACTATTTTGCTTAAATTTTGAAAAAAAAAAGAAAAAAAAAATTCAATCATTGAAAAATTTAAGAAAGTATTGGAATTGAAGAGTGATGTTTTGCTGGAACAGGAATTACTATTACGGCAAGAACAAACAAAATTATCGAGTGAAGAGGTATTTTTGAAGAAGCAAAAATGTTATTTCACAAATTTTAAGTTAATAAATTATTCTCTAAATTATTCTATGATTACAGAAATATTCTATAACACATGTAAAATATAATATTTTCAAAAAAAAAAAAAGAAGAGAAATTTAACACACATCAATGTATTTTGCAATTTCATTTTGATATCACTTTCATTTCAAGCGCTTACTTCACAAAATCACAACAATTGTATTAATCTTTTCAAATCATAATTTTTTGATTATTACGATGCTCTTCTCAATTTTGAGAGATTGAAATTTGAGTAATTTAATTTACATTTTATTACCAATATTGCAAAATAAAATCTTTAAATATGGAAAGAAGAAAAATCATTGTTGCCAATTGACACCCATAGAAATCTTGAAATCAATGGCTAGAAAATTGCAAAAAAGATGAAAATAATTTAGGGATTGCATTAAAGTCCTAACTATCATCCTGCAACAATGAATTGCAAAATTTTTATCAAAAAAATTAGCTAAACGCTAAAAATAAATACAAAATTTTTGAAGCAAAGCAAGGAGAAAAAAAAAAAAGTAGGAAATAGAGAAAAGAAAAATGAAAGCAGAAACAATGTGAATATCATTCGTTTGAAATATTTCTAATTAAGGAAAAGAGATGGAAAATAACTGAAAAATGATTTCCAACTAATTTATCGCTGCAATTTCTCTGAAATAATACCAAATGAAATGAATGAATGAAATTACGTTATGTTTATAAAGTATTGAATTTATAAAGTATTATTTGAACTTCTAACGAAATGTTTTTATTAAACTAACAATGGCTAACACTGTACTGATAATGAAAATAATAAAATTTGTAATGAATAAGTGATAGTTTTTATAATGATAATGATAAGATATCATATCTATGCCAGTCACATTATATAATTTGAATAAATTTAATTAAATGCATTATCATATTTTTCTTGTCATTTTTCTCTTCTTTCATCAAATTTAACATACATCCATTGCTTTCTTCACGCAAATGTAGTCTAAAGCACCAAAATTTTAACACTCAATGATTTTTAAAATTAATATTATTAAATATTATAAAATAATGAATCTAATTATGAATTATTAGTTCCTCTGTAGTTATCCAAAAAAGACTAAATTATCAGTAGATTTAATTAGTCAGAGATTTTTTCTTCTCATTCTCTCATAAATCGGTACCACTTGGAAAAAATATATATATATATATAATGAACCGAAACTATCTAAATAAAATTCAAAATTCTGAAATATGACAGAGTAGTAAGCAATTCAGGTAAAAATTGAACAAAAATATCTAAAATTAATCTTATTTATATTTTACTATATAATTTTACGATAAATTAAGCAATTTCAGAAAAACTAAATACCACAGAATTTGAAACTTACTTATCAAGAAGTACTTGTCTTTCAGAAAATGTATTTTTGCATGAAGCATTATTGTAAGCGTTATTATCACTAAAAAATAACATCCAATAGTATTTTTTAGAGCGATAATTTCTTGTTTGTCGGTGAAAGCAAGAAGATTATTGGCAAATCATCAGCTTAAACAAAATTGGCAATATGTGAAAATATATGACAAAGAAGAAAAAAATTTTTCAAGCAGTGATGGACAAAAAAAAAAAAAGAAAAAATAAAGGAAAAAAATGCGTGACATTGACATTGTGGTGACAAATAAGGCAATAAATTATTTTCTTAAAATAAACGATAAGTTAAATGTATGAATAGCGCTTTCTCCTAGAACTTTTCTACTTCCCACCATATCATATTGTTAACTTTTAATTCTTTTTCCTGAAATAATAAAATTTATAAATTTATAATTAGCTTAATTGAATTTTTGATTGATTTAATTAATTGCTAATTATCTATGAAAAATTCTGAATTTTTTGAAAATTATTCATGTAACTATGATTGACTATTACTTTGCAGCATGCTTTCATTTATTTAGTGTAATGTTTACTTGCATGACGTTTACTTATTGTTTTTTTCTTGTTGTGTAAATTGTTGCTTTCAATTAAAAGGAAAATGTTAAAAATGCATGAAAATGTGCAATGTTCAATAAGTTCATTTCTAAAGTTTTACGCATTTTACGCACTTTACTCTTCCTCTATTAAACTATTTCAATGTTAGATGAAATTTAATTCCTATTAACAACAAAAATTTAATCTTTGATTATTAAAGTTTGATTTAATTAATAAGATTGAAAGTTTTTTTTTTCCTCCCTCTCCTCCCTCCCCCACTTCAGTCCACAAAGAAATTTCATATTTATTATTTATTTGATTATTTCTTAAACAAACAGTAATAAATTGTGCAAAACAAAGAGAAGAAAGAAGAAATAAACATTTGCAAAATGTTGCATGAAAATGAAAACTTTGTCATATCCTTGAATACTTAAGAAATGAAAAGAAACCGAAACTCAATGAATGATTCCTTGACAAGTATCAAATTACTTCCAATCATAAATGTTAGAAATTAGCAATGCTATTAGCTTTTCTCGAGGACGATTAATTTTAATCAATTACTTTGATATAATAACTCTGAAATATGCAACCAACAAAAGTTTGAAAGAGAGACAATAATAAACTGATATACGGCAGATAATATATTCATTGCAAAACCCGAGACATAGTAAATTTTATTAAGTATTGCTCATTTCAAGGAGCGATAAAAAATAATATACATTTCTTTTCTAACTTTCAATTTATACTATTGCAATTAACAAGATAACTATGGATTTCCGGAATTCCTATTTTCATATGATCAATTTGTTCACAGTGTGAAATTCCTGAAATTAGTCTAATCTTATCTTCTCTGCTTCATCAACCTAAATTTTGTAAACTAACTAGGAAAAATAAAAATGGGAAGAAAAAATTATTCTATTTTGTTTATCTTTGAAAAAAAAATTTTACTCAAAATTTAATCTAAGATTTAGTCTTTTTAAAAAAAAAAAAAAAACATTTTTGCTATCGTAACTGTGCGTATTGTTTGAGATCTTAGCAAATATCTCAAGAAATCATCGATAATTTTATCGACTATTTTCTTTTATTTTTACAGTATTTTAATTTTTAGCTTTTAAAAAAAAAAAAAGAAATTGCTTTATTTCAAGTGTAGAAATGAATCACTGTGACAGTAAGGAAGGCAAAAAATAAATATAACTTTTTGCAAGTGCAAAAGAAAAGGGTAAATGAAAAGTTTACATTGGTCAAATAAATTAATTTTCCTTCTATTGTACATTCGTTTAATTCTCAACATCCTTATAATATCATTGGTTAAAATCTATAATTAATAAACATTTTTGCTCTGCCAAATTTCAAATGAAATAATTGATTTTATTGTTTTCAGTTTGTCTAATGTAGAAAAAAAAAAAAAGAAAAGAAAAACTTGACTTTTGATTTATTTTAATGCTTTATTCCAATTCCATATCATCAATTGATTAATAATTGTAGCGCGAAATTTTCCCTCAATAGTTACTGGCGCAAATTAGTATTATTTCAGTATATGTCGCATTCTACCTAAATGCGACAATTATTTAATATTCATTTTAAGTTTTGCTTTCTCGCCGAATTTGTGATTTCGCAAAGAGTTAATGCCAGTTGAAAATCTTTACAAAGAATTTAATCAAGTGACAATTCATTAATCGCAAGACGATTAATCATCAAGTGATTTTGCGATTTGCTTAGCAGCTTTGAAAAATAAACATGCAAAAGTCGAAGTCAACAAATGAAATTCATTCATTCCGGAATTTATCAAAATAACATAGAATAGGCAAAAATATTTCAGTAAATTGGAACTGATTGTAAAAATTTTGAAAAAAAAAATAGTAATAAAGTTATGTTTCAGTAGCATACAATTTAATTTAATACTTTATAGTTACATCAAAAGTGAAATACTCATATTTTAGTATTAATTAACGATAAAATAATTTATAGTTAACCATTTAGTCAGACAATAGATTAAATTAGATGATTGAGCATTTAATGTAATAATAAATGGAATCCAATAGTGTCTCAATTGCATATCGGATATCATTTTAGATTCATATTTTTACCGGTTTCTGCTTCTGTTATTCTTTAATTTTTCAACATTTATTACATTATTATTGTTTTGAAACAGAGAAGAAAAACGAGAAAAAGTAGCGGTTATTTTAAGCTCAAATAAAATTTATTAATTAAATTTGAAATAAAATTGTTATACAAACGGAAGTGAACATATGATAAATATATTAAGAGAATAATTTATATAAAAAACAATTTCAAAACATAACGCATCTGTGTTTTTTCTTCTTTTTTGCTGCTAAAGCAGCACGAGTAGCCATTTCGAATACTTCCCGTACACCCTTAGAAAATATTTCATTAGAAATTCCGCAATATTTTACAATAACAAATTTTAAGAGTTAAATTTTATTTCAAATTCAGCATAGAATGTATCATGAAGAAAATGCAATTAACACTAAAATTTCAATACAAATACTAATACTAATTAATATACTTTTATGTGGAAAGTATATTAGCGATAATAAGCTTTAAATTAACTTATTAAAAGTCATAATGATTTTTTTGACAATATTTTAAATTAATATAAAATTGATGAAGAAAGAAAAAAGAAAGTGATACATCTTTCGTTTTAGCAGAACATTCGATATATGATGCAGCGCCAATTTGATCAGCCATTGCTTTTCCCTGTTCATATTTTACCGGTTCCTGTTTCATTTTTTGCAATTCTCGAACGGTTTGCGCATCACTCCGTAAATCCTTTTTGTTACCTACCAGTATTATCGGAACATTGGGACAAAAATGCCGAACCTGTTAATGTCGAATTTTGAAATTATTATTATTTGCTGATGTAGAAATTGCAGAGGAATAATAAATAGTAGATAGCAACATATGAAATGCTAATTAAGACTACAAATAATTAAATGAAAAAGGCAATTAATTGAGCTAATAATCTGATCGGAATTTGAACGATTAAAGAGTAAAAAATTATAAGATTTAGAGAACAATTGATTTATGACAATCGCAAAAATTCATTCGTTTTTTCTTTTAATAATAATATTAATAATTGAAATCAAATTATTGTATAAAATTGCTATGAACTGTGAAATGATTGTTGAAATTCAAACCTCAGGAGTCCATTTTTCCGGAATATTTTCCAATGAATCCGGCGAATCAATGCTAAAGCACATTAATATCACATCAGTATCCGGATAACTTAGCGGTCTTAATCGATCATAATCTTCTTGACCTGCTGTATCCCATAAAGCCAATTCTACCTTGACTTACACAAGATTTCAGTATTCATTTGCCGTTCAATTATATTAAAATTAATTTACATTATAGCTTATTATATATCAAAAATTTTAAAAAAAAACCACTATTTAAAAATTTTTAATATAAAATTTACCTGTTTACCATCAACTTCAATATCGGCAACATAATTTTCAAATACTGTTGGCACATAAACATCCGGAAATTGATCCTTACTGAATACAATCAATAAGCAAGTTTTTCCTAAAAAAAAAAATTGCCCATTTTTATTATTTTCAAACAAATATAATTTTTTTTCATCGTTCAAATCATAATATCGTTAAAGTAATAAATGAACAAAAATTCATATTGTTTTCTTTGTAAAATTTTAACCTTTTCGCTTTGACGTACTTACGTTACGTCAAATATCGTTTGTGCTACAAATGTAATATACTTTTATTTTTGGTAAAATGACTTTAAATTAAAAAAAAAAAAGTTAAACTAGTGGAATGAGTACGAGGGATAGAATTCTTTTTGTTTGCAATAATTTCAGTTATAAATTATAATTTTACTCAACGCTGGAACTTTTTGATATTGTAATGTCAAAGGTTTTTTGTTATAATTAAACTGCTTATTTATTTATTGTCATTAAGTTATTAGTGACTCAAAATAACGCCAATTACATTTAAGCAAATAAAATTTAAGAAAACTTTTTTCATTAATAAATTTACAGTGTTTAGATAAATGCCAGTTAAAGAATGAAATCAGTAATACAGCTCCAAAATATAGATCGGAAATCAAATTACTACTAAGGTATAAATCAGCTTTTAGTTCAATTCAATAATGGAAGGAAAAATCTGCATGATAACGTCCGATTTGATTAAAATCAAAGTTGCACAAAAATACTTAAATATTTTTAGTGATTAAAAAGTTTCAGACGATAGTAAAAGATTTTTTTTTTTGGTGAAATTTAGATTGAATTGATGAGATTTTTGTGTAACTTTCATATTTCTTCAGTCTTTTTGTTTAAATTACGATTTCATACAGTTTGAAAATTTCACCTTAACTTTTCTACCCTTTCGCTCTCCGATAACGAACTCATATTTCATACAGAGGTCAATTTTCAGATAATCTTTCTACCGCATTCTAACATAATTCACAGATAGTAGAGTAGCACTACATCCTTATCAGTGTATTATCAGTGTACTATTTTCCTTCTTTTTTATTTAAGGACAATATGAAGAACATTCAGGTAGCACAACTATGGGTTATTTTAGCCTATCAATTGCATTACAAGTTATAAACAATTTTTTTTTTTTTTCAAAAATCATGCTAATTTAAATGAAATTTCTTCTTCATGTAGCAAAACTTTTAATTAAAATTTTGATCTTTTTTAAAAAAGTTTTTTTTTTTTGAATTTTTATAAAATGAATAACAGTAAACTGTAATGACCACATGCTCCATCGCCAACAATAACCAATTTCTTCCGGATTGCTGCCATACCGGTTTCAATATTGCTGATTCGCCCTCCAGAAATTTCGCTTTAGATAATAAAAAAATCGCTTGAAGACTAATTTCAGTACGACGTTTCTATAAAATGATTTTACATATTACAAAGATGTGGTGAATTTCTAAACAATTCAGTCTTGAAAATTCTCGAAATAAAACAGAGAGAGCACTCTCAATATGAATAGTTTCAAACAATCAGTATTTGTGATAAAAAAGAAAAAGCGATAAATGAAAGTATTTTTGGACAACTAAAAATTTTATAATCCAAAATTGAAATTTTCATGCATACATTCATACTATAGCAAAATGCGAATATTTACAGCTATGTATAAATAAAAATTCGAAAAAAAAAAAAGAAACAATGATAAATTGAGAATTTAAATGAATTAAATAAATAAAATGAGGAAACTTTTACTGACTGATTATTATCAGTTAATTTTTACTTGAAATATCAATGTTGTATTTAATTTTTTTTTTTTTGTTTTTATTAACTAATTTATAATATAGGAAAGAAAGTTAAAGAATCGATGAGAATAATTGTAGCAAGAAAATGGAATGGCCAAATATAAGAGACTAGTGGATGAGTAAAAACAATGAATTCTCGATGAAGGCGTGAAAAATGGAAATTTTATGAAATTGCTAAAAGATTATGCGATTCATTAGAGAGCGAAATGGAAAGATTAGTTTCAGATTAGATTCGCATTAATATATAAATAGTTGTATTTCCTGTTAAATTCTTTATCATCTCTTCTTTTTTATTTTTTATTTTTTATTTTTTTCATTCCTATTCTCCTTCTTCTCCCAGTCTTCTCATTCAATCTTTTAATCTTCCTCACAATCCTTTACCAACTAGCCATAAATGATAATGAGCTTCCAAATAAGAGCATTACATTCCGCTTCATTTTCTCTTAAATTAAATATCATGAAATTACGGAAATAAGCAAAATTAAGCTAAGCTAACATATATATGCTAATGCTTTAACTCAAGAAATTCAAGTTAAAAGTTAGAGAAAGTTGAAGTATAATGAAAAAAAAAAAAAAAGAGGAAAAGGAAAATTTGATAAAACTATAGAATTTGTTAAACGATTTCTTTAAAAGGAAACAAAAAGAAAAAAAATTGGTAATTTTACAGCAATGAAAGAAATATAATAAAATTTAAAATGAGAAAGTTTACTGTATGATTAGTTTGAAAATCGTTGTGAAGACTTAAGAAGAAATAATTGAGGAGAACATTTGGAAGAAAATTGATGATATGTCTTGATGAGGGAAAAAATAGCACTTAGGAAATATATATTTTATTGGGTAAGGGAAAGGGGAAGGAAAAAAAAGAGAGAGAACGAAAAGAAAGAAATGGAAAGTTATTGCAAAAATTGTTTTAAATCATTAAGATTAATTTAAATAAAGCTTTAAATCATAGAGAAATAATACAATGATACAAATTTGATAACAAAAAAATTTATATTAACAATTGATTATAATTATGATGACTTATTAGACTTCCTTATCAGTGTAGCTTATCAGACTAAATTTAGAAATGTTGCTTACACTTCCACTATGATAGAAATTTTTGTCATATGCAAATGCTTATCCCATTTATGCACTAAGCTTTGTTGGGCAAAAATATTTTTTATGGATAATACGAAAGAAGGTAATCTCAGCTTTTTATGTGACGGATGAATATTTTGTAAACATATTTGCTGAGGTCAATTAGAAATAAGAAATTTGTTGTCCTTTAAAATTTTAATTACGATTTTGTTGGATCCGTGTGATATCCTTCAATATATCTCTTTTTAATCTTGACCTAACAAGACAAAAAAAAAACAAGGGAGGTTAGGATAATCTTTTGGTTGTAAAGTTTTAGAAATTTACAATCATTGATAAGCGATCAATGATCATTTGAAAATTTGCACACATGGAAGAGAGATTAAGATAGCAGTTAAATAGAAGATGAAAAGAGAGATGTATACCGCAAAATTCGTAGCTACTTCGATTGTGGCTTTTTAGCAGGAAATAAAGATGAGAGAAAAGACGAAATAAAATGAAACGAAACGAAATGAAATGATGAATGAATGAATGAATGAATGAATGAAGAAATGTGGAAAAGGAGAGAAAAGTATGAATTGTTTAGATGAAAATTTTCTCAAATTTCATTAGAGGCATAAGAAATTTTAGTTGTGTAGTTTGTGATTTGTATGGAAGGAGGAAAAAAAAAAAAAAAACAGGAAAGCATATATAGGCAAGATCAAGAATTAACGAGCAACCAACCATTTTAGTTTCTATTTTATAATTTTTGCTAACAAAACAAAATTTCTGCTAAATAGAAGAAAATAGGAAAGAAAAAAAATGATTTGAAAAACAAAGAAAAAAAAAAAAAAAAATAAGACATTTATTCCATCAATAAAAGACAAAATATAAATGTAGGAAATTGTTTCTTTTTTTGTATCATTTCCTAATTTCTTTTTTAATTAATATACAAATATTATCTTATTTAATTTACATTTTGAACTTATAACAGAAATCATTTATTAAGAAAAGATAAAATTACTGCAACAATAAGAAATAACATGAACAATAATAGCAATAATGCTAAAAGAAGAAAAAATCTCATTGATGAGAATTAAAAGATGAAAAAAAAATTTGTTGTGCAAGAATAAATCACCAATCACAGTCCCATAACGACCAATTCATCAATGCTCTTGTAATTTTCTTTTCTTTTTTCCTCCATTTATTTTTATACGAAACGTTTTTCTCTTTTTTTTTTTTTTTTTTTGTTCTTCTTCGTTTTGAAATATTTGTTGTATTACTACAATGATAGATATTGTTTCAGTGAGTAAATATCGCTTAACTTTTCTGAATCATTCATTCTCATAAGTTTATTGCTGTTAAGAAAGAACACGAAATCTATTGTTTGATTTGTCTAATCGATATGGAAAATTATCAATTCCTATTGATCGAACAAATTTATTATCATTGATCTTTGCGATTTCACTACAAATACTACAGTATCTGTGATCTGTTATTGGAACATTTCGATTTGTTGCAAAAGCTTTCTTTGCCCAACAACCATCTAGCTAGAATTTACATTAAAAAAAAAAAAAAAAAAAAAAAAACACGATTCAAAGCTGTGGAAGATTTCAATCTATCAGACTTATAAAATTTTAGTTATTGAAGTTATTGCTAATAACTGTTGTCCAGGTTACTGATGCTTTTAACTGGAATTACATCTACACATACACAAACACATAGACACACAGAAATGTCATTATCCATCACCTAAATACCGAAAACTAAAGTACAAAATGTAAGCCTCCAAATGTCCGAAATAGATAAAGCTTTATTGTTAATGGAATAATCGATGATACATCATTGAAAAGAATTATTATGTTGGGTAAATAGAAGAACTAAACCAGCAAAATGGCTATATGCACTAATTAAGCGCTAAATATATTATTGCTACAGCATTTTTCAATCATCAGAACTGCTCATTGACTGAATGTGATGCAATTCGTTAATTGTCAAAACGATCATTCAATAGCAACCGTTCTCATCCAATTTCTTTTATTTAAATTTGAATAGTTGTTCGATCTTGGTTATATAAAACCATATGATATATGAAAAATGTATTCTACCGTCTATTTAAACATTCCTCTCCATTTTAATGATGAGATAAATTGTCATGATAGAGCAGTTGATATTAAAGTAATGCTTAGCATGATATTTAAATTATTAAAGTTAAAATTTAGCATTAAAAATCAAGCTTTTTTAATATCAAACAAGAAAACAGAAGAATGAGTGAAAAAAAAAGTGTTTATTTTAACACAGAAAAACAAAAAAAAAAAAAAGAATAAAACGACGAAATGACCAACAGAACAGTTCCATAAAACGTTTGCTGGGAGAATTATTCATTTAAACAGTATGTTTGAAAAATTTTCCACAGCTGCTTCCATCACCTTCCGGGAAATCACATCGACATCGTTTTTCATCTTTTATACCAGCTGCGAATAACTCATCGTCATCATCATCATCATCTGAGCCTTTTCTTAGGATCCATAAATTTCTTTAGCATTATGTAATCCTGCAAAGTGATTTGTAGAAAACACAATTCCTCCTCCCACTACCTCCCACACCATTCTCTACAAATTTATTACACCACATGTATTATTCAGAAAATAAATCACTAATTTCACACCATATCAACAACGCCATTTTAAATACTGTACGACACCTGAATTTTGCCTGCTTACTCTAATTAGGAAATATTTTCCTAAAATATTTGGCCTAATGTTTACTTTAACGCCTGTTTACAAGAAAAAACGTACACAACAATTGCAATGGACTAATTTATTACACATTCCCTATAAATAACAGTAAAATTTACACACCATATCATTTTAAATCTGTTAAAATATTTTCCTAAAATATTTGGCCTAATGTAGTAATAAACAACAGTGATCAAAATCGGGCAGAGTATCAGCATGATGAAGTCCGATAATAATTAAAATTTTCAACAGGATGATATATATATGATATCTTAACAACAAAAGATATTTTCTGGATCTCAAAAAAAAAAAAAAAAAAAAAGAGAACTAAGCGACGCAACAATAACGATAACAGTAATAAACAACAGTGATCAAAATCGGGCAGAGTATCAGCATGATGAAGTCCGATAATAATTAAAATTTTCAACAACGTCAAAAAATAAAAAACACACTATATGTGTATGCTAAATGAAGTGAGGCTCACCGCTGGAATGTTTTTTTTTTTTAATTGTTAGATGATAACATATAACGCAAATGCAGAACGAACGATACCTTATTATTCCTTTTGGAAGCTTATCATTCATCAGTAATAATTATAGAGCATCTCTTGAACAATGGTAAGAGATTAATTACTGACAAAGGCAGACCGCAGAACAGTAATGGTTAACAATACTTTTTAATAGATTAATTATGAAGTAAGATGATCTGTTCTACCTTCCTCTCACCTCATTTC